TATATATAGGGTGTCTTACAATTTCCATATAATATTTTAATAGCGTATTCTAGAGACAAAATGGAGTCAAAAGTCTTAATACGAGAATATCGAGAATATCGCTACAATAGTTTTTGAGTTATAAATGATCAAAGTTTACCAATAATATTGTGTAAAATTTGCGCGCTCAGGCTCGTAACTACATTTACACACGTACTGATCTGTTATCTGTTATTGTAGACAGATAAAATAAATAAATTGATTTCCCCAAAACTTTTCCGCATTATCAAAACTAAAATAAACTTTGTTTCTTAAATGTGTGAAAATATCAAGTTTATATTTCTATTTAAATATAATAATTAATCAAGTATTTAAATTGTCATTTAAGAAAAAATTAAATATTTTGCGTACAACATTTATAGTTCGTTAATATCAGCTGATCGCCGAACATAGTACTCATACACATAAAAAATAATAAGATCAGCTATGCAGTAAAAATCAATATTATCTGATTTGTAACATCAATAACAAATGACAGATCGATAACGCGCGTATGTGTAGTTACGGATCTGAGCGCGCGAGTTCTACGCGATATCATTGACAAACTTTGATTGCTTATAATTCAAAAACTATTGCAGTCTTAACATTTTTGTATTAAAATTTTTGACTCTATTTTATCTTTAGAATATACTATTAAAGTATTGTACGGAGGTTGTGAGACAACCTGTATATGATGAATATATTGTAATATCCGATGCTGATAATGAAGGCTCGATTATATCTCATACATATAAATACAATCTGAATCTCACAGTCAGAAACGCATGCGTTTTTCTTCTATAGATAAAGCGTCTCATGTTTCTCTTACGCGAATGATAAATCGTTAATAATTTCGTGGTTTCAGCATGTTGATGCATGATCTGGATCTCATCGTCTGTCTTTTGCAGCGCCCAATCGTTCCACATATGCTCAAATAATTCTTTAAACTAAAATGAGTAAAACGATGAGAAATGAATGATTATATATTATAAAATAGTAAAAAGAAAAGAAAATGGGGATATTAGCATGGCCATTAATCGATATATCGTAAAATAAGATATAAATTTTAAAAGATTTACAAATTTGTTTACTTATTATTATGTGTTATTTTATTTTAATATGTTTACTTTTTTGTTTAGCTTTTATTTTATTACTCATAAAACTAAGATTTAAATTAAGAACAAAAGTTTGTATTGGACGTAACTTACTTTGTCTATGTGAACAATACGTGTATACAACTGGCACAGATTACCTACTGTAGGTACAAGCATTGGTAATAATTCGATAAAAAAATCCATATTGACATCGGATGTAAATATACTCGATATCTAAAAAAATTACTAGTTCTTATTAAAGTATAGTTATCAAGAGCTACCCAGCTAGCAAGGTGTCGTCATTATAACATCATTTTAAGGTCATTTCTCGTCATATGACGTCAGTCGACTAAATAATGACGTAACACAGACGCGATATTTTTGACGACATATTATCATCACAGAAATAACGTCATTTAATCGTCTTTTGGATAAAGTTCCGAAAAGTACTCACCCCCGATTTTTTTGAAATTCAGTATTCTTACGTACTTTAATGCGCTGAATATCATAGTGAAAATTGGCGACTATTTGATTTTCACGGTGAAAACCATGAAAAATCCATAAAAATTATAGTTTTTTACGCTTATCTCAGTAAATACGGAAAATCATGATAAATGTTTTAGACAAAAGTTTTAGACCTCACAGAGATAAACATTTAATGTCCTATTCATTTTTACCGTACAAGTGATAGTTTTCGAGGAAATTAAAGTTAAACATATATCTCAAACCAATTGCTGTATAGGTGAAACTACAAAGGCTGACAGTACTGCGTAGAAGTCCCAATATATAACCTCGCTTTGCGTGGATGCGGGGGGCTCCACTACCAAAAAACTAGACAAATAGGTTTGCATATAACCTCGCTTTGCATAGAAAGTTGCAAACCCATGTGGAACCTTGCTTCGCGTGGAAAAGTGTATGCGTAGAAACAGTGGGTCCCGCCTCCCTGGGGGGGGGCTCCACTACCAAGAATCTAGAGAAATAGGTTTGTGTGGAACCTCGCTTTGCGTGGAAAGTTGCGAACCCATGTGGAACCTCGCTTCGCGTGGAAAAGTATATGCGTAGAATCAGTGGGTTCCGCTCCCCTGCAGGGGGCTCCACTACCAAAAAATTGGACAAATAGATTTGCGTGGAACCTCGCTTTGCGTGGAAAGTTGCAAACCCATGTGGAATCGTATATGTACTGCAAAGTACATGCTTAGATGGGAGGATAGATATAAGATTTATAGTCCATCGTTTTTGTCGAAAACTATCATTCGTACGGTAAAAATGAATAGGACATAAAATGTTTATCTCTGTGAGATCTAAAACTTTTGTCTAAAACATTTATCATGATTTTCCGCATTTACTGAGATAAGCGTAAAAAACTATAATTTTTATGGGTTTTTCATGGTTTTCACCATGAAAATCAAATAGTCGCCAATTTTCACTATGATATTCGTAATCAGCGTATCAAAATACGTAAGAATACTGAGTTTCAAAAAAAATCGGGGGTAAGTACTTTTCGAAACTACACCCGAAAATGATAAATGTTTTATGATACTTATAAAGTTTACATGACTTTCTGTTCAAAACTCTTAAAAATACGGTATTATTATGTTACAAAACTATGAAATATTGTTTAATATTAATAATTGAATTTGATGCGCATGTTTTCATATATTCAAAATTATTATTTATTTAATATTTCATGAGAAATGTTATTGCATGCAACATTTCAAAACTTTACGAAAAGATAGTTTATACTTCAGCCGCTAGTTCGTTTGTTTACCGCTATGCGACGCGTGATGCATCCATCTCGTATTTGAGTGTCAGTCATGAGAATTATATAAAGCTTGCAAAGAGCAACTGGCAGGAGATTAAAAATCTAATTTTTTCTATCAATTTAATTTCTGATGCAATTCCAATATAGGAAATTCATATATTAGACTGATAGTTTAAAAATCGAGCAGGTAAATGTCCGAACAAATTAAAATCATCCGTTTATTGTCTACGTTAAGATGTAAAATATATTGTATATACAGGGTGTCAGATAATAATCGTCCCACCCGTAATGTGCAGGTAGAGCAGATGAAACTGAGAAGAAAAGTCCTTTACCATTTTGCGATTTTTGTAATAATTATTGAGAAATAAATTTTTAAAAAATCAACTAATTCGCGCGAGTATAAGCGCACAGCAAGAAGAGATAATCCAAAAAGTATGCAGTCGCTAGGCGCGCGACGAAGTTTTGAAGCAGAGCACTCCACAAATGATACGGTTACAACGAGCGACATATAAAGTCCATCGTTTTTGTCGAAAACTATCACTCGTATGGTAAAAATGAATAGGACATAAAATGTTTATCTCTGTGAGATCTAAAACTTTTGTCTAAAACATTTATCATGATTTTCCGTATTTACTGAGATAAGCGTAAAAAACTATAATTTTTATGGGTTTTTCGTGAAAATCAAATAGTCGCCAATTTTCACTATGATATTCGTAATCAGCGTATCAAAATACGTAAGAATACTGAGTTTCAAAAAAAATCGGGGGTAAGTACTTTTCGAAACTACACCCGAAAATGATAAATGTTTTATGATACTTATAAAGTTTACATGACTTTCTGTTCAAAACTCTTAAAAATACGGTATTATTATGTTACAAAACTATGAAATATTGTTTAATATTAATAATTGAATTTGATGCGCATGTTTTCATATATTCAAAATTATTATTTATTTAATATTTCATGAGAAATGTTATTGCATGCAACATTTCAAAACTTTACGAAAAGATAGTTTATACTTCAGCCGCTAGTTCGTTTGTTTACCGCTATGCGACGCGTGATGCATCCATCTCGTATTTGAGTGTCAGTCATGAGAATTATATAAAGCTTGCAAAGAGCAACTGGCAGGAGATTAAAAATCTAATTTTTTCTATCAATTTAATTTCTGATGCAATTCCAATATAGGAAATTCATATATTAGACTGATAGTTTAAAAATCGAGCAGGTAAATGTCCGAACAAATTAAAATCATCCGTTTATTGTCTACGTTAAGATGTAAAATATATTGTATATACAGGGTGTCAGATAATAATCGTCCCACCCGTAATGTGCAGGTAGAGCAGATGAAACTGAGAAGAAAAGTCCTTTACCATTTTGCGATTTTTGTAATAATTATTGAGAAATAAATTTTTAAAAAATCAACTAATTCGCGCGAGTATAAGCGCACAGCAAGAAGAGATAATCCAAAAAGTATGCAGTCGCTAGGCGCGCGACGAAGTTTTGAAGCAGAGCACTCCACAAATGATACGGTTACAACGAGCGACATATAACGCTAGATTCTTGTGCCTTAGCAATAATATGTACATCAATTGGGTCGTCCTTTCTCGTTGCGCGCTATTAGCTATACTCGCGCTTATTGACCGATTGTTTTTAATTAATTTCTCTTTGATTATTGCAAAAATCGCAAAACGGTAGAGGACTTTCCTATTTAGTTTAACCCGCTGTACTTGCATTACGGGTGGGGCCATTATTATCAGAGGGAGCGTCCCGTTTGACCACGTTGATATTGACCACGATCCCGATTGACCACGTTGAGATTGACCACGTTGCGATTGACCACGTTGCGATGCGTGATAAATATCAACGTGGTCAATCGGGATCGTGGTCAATATCAACGTGGTCAATATCAACATGGTCAATCGCAACGTGGTCAATCTCAACGTGGTCAATTGGGACCATGGTCAATATTAACGTGGTCAAACGGGTGCCACTCATTATCAGACACCTTGTATATACATATACAGAGTAACCCGCAATGACCGCCCACTAAGTACATAGCGTTATTTCTTACCAAAAACTGAGACAAAAAGTCCTGAACCATTTTTTTTTATAACGCTTAATAAAGGAGTTATTATTGAGTAAAGTTGGGCCAATCAGCGCCGACCTTTAGCCGGGCGCAGTAAGCCGCGCTCCTGGTAGTGTACGTGAGTGCTCCGCCGCTAGCATAGATTATTCTTATGCGTAAGAATAATAGAAATAATTTGTTTTTGCAATATTTTTACAGAGTGGACAAAATAAAGAGTGACGAATTTTTATCTCCAAAAATATTGTTTCTAGAAAAAAATGTTTCAAATAAAAGTTGCAGTATTTCAAGGGGGACATAAGTTAATGTTTGTAGGTGACAGTTTTCAAGGTTATTTTAAGGTCAACTTTATTTTTTTAATGGAAACCCTTATTTTTTATCGCATATTCTTATAGTCCTTTTTGATACTTTTTCAAAACATTATAACAAAGTACCTTTACTGTTATAAACAAAAGTTATTTTATACCATACAGGATCAACTGTAATATAAAAATTCCTATATTATTTTTATTATACGAAAATTAAATTTTTGTAAGGAGTATAGCCATTACTAAAAAAACTTGTTTATATTTAACAGAAATATAATTTTGAACGTAGAACGCATTTTCACAAAATGTTTCAAAACATGCAGAACGAAAATAAAGCTTTAATAAATAAGTTTAATTTCTAATAAATAAGTTATAGTTTCTGTTAAATATAAACAAGTTTTTTTAGCAATGGCTTTACTCCTTAAAAAAATTTAATTTTCGTATAATAAAAATAATATAGGAATTTTTATATTACAGTTGATCCTGTTGCACGTACAATTTTAACTATAATTTAAATATATATATGCACATATGTATATATATGCAAATATAAAATTCTCAAAAAATGGGCGCTTGTTAGCCTTCTTGTGTTACTGCTTTCTGCCACGAGAAGTCAGAAAGCATTTTCAGGACGTATCTCGGCCGTAAAATGATACGTTAGAAGAACAAGGATAGCACGCGATCGTCGCTCCTTGTCTGATATTATCTCCCAACAATCGCATCCGTGTGCTCAACATATCGGTGTGTGCCAGTGATGCCAGAATTGAGACGCGAGCAACACGACTCCGTAGTAGAGGGGATACGCACACAAGCGTGAACCGTGTACATGTAATGCGCAGAGCACTCTGCATGTTGCTCGCGTCTCAATTCTGGCATCATTGGTGTGTGCCTTCACGGACGCTGCACACATACGGTGCAAGAGAGACAAAGACGACGCGATCATCTTTCCTTGTCACGCGGCTATATGTATTACCGACACTTTGTGCACATAGCACGGAACGGAACCATTATTTGTGGACATAACGTGTTACCCACTAAGTACATTCGTGCACATTGGCTACGTAGTTCAATGTCCACATTTTTTATGTCCACAGAGGGCGTATCGCTTTCAGGGATCACCTAAAACCGGGCCGTGGCGTCTCTCAGTCTTCTCTCTGCTAGCAGCATGCGCGAAGGAAAAATGTCGCCGCACCGCCGTAGCGGCGGAGCGCTCACGCACACTACCAGGCGCGCAGCTTACTGACGTGCGCCCGGCTAAAGGTCGGTGCTGATTTGCCAGACTACTCAATAATATTCTTTATTAAGCGTTATAAAAAAAATGGTTCAGCACTTTTCGATTCAGTTTTGGTAAGGAATAACGCTATATACTTAGTGGGCGGTCATTGCGGGTCACCCTGTATATATATATAGGGTGTCATTTTAATCAATACACGCAAATATCTCGTAAAGTAAGCAAGATGGAAAAAAATGTTTTATACAAAAGTTGTAGGGTTCAGAGGAGGATACATGATGAAAATATGGACTTGACGTTGAATGACCTTTTCAAGGCCAAGTCAATGTGATCGATGTTTTCTTAAATGGAACCACCCATTTTTTATTGCATATTCTTGTAGCTTATACTAATTGATTTGTCTCAATATTCTGTACATAAAAGTATTACGGTAAGATTATCGAAAACTAAATATTTTACGAGATATTTTATTTTTTATATCAAAATATGTCAGATTAAGATATAAAATAACTCAAAAAGTACTTAATGAAAACATACTTTATTATAGTGTTTTGGAAAGCTCTCAAGATAAGCTACAAGAATATGCAATAAAAAAGAGGGTTTCCATTTAAGAAAACAAAGTTGACCTTCAATTAACCCTCAAGGTCAAGTTCAAGGTCAAGTTTAAGGTCACCAAAATATATACGTCTACTTGTCCTACAAATTTGATACTGGATGTCTTCCTCTATCTCTAATCGTTTTCTAAAAAAACTTGGATTTTTTATCGGACTCACCCTGTATATATGGCATGTGTGTGAGTGTGTATTATAAAATGGGTAATTATGCATATTAAGGTCCCACCCCCGCAAGATAGTAATGTTGACATATGTTGTCAAGGTCATGACCTTGATCAACATTCCGAAGGTTTTAGCCGGCGGTCGTTGTTTATTTAAAAGTTATTAACAAATAAAGTTTGAGAAGTATACCACGTAATTTTTGAACAACATGTATAAAAGAATAGTGAGTTTTACCTTGACATAACGAAAGTCGTGTTGTAAAGTATATGCGTGGATGCAGTGGGTTCCGCTCCCCCTACGGGGGGTCTCCACTTCCGGAAGATATAACCTAACCCAAACC